ATGGGTATATATATAATCTAAATGGCACATACACCTAAATTTTCCCAGTGTATTTTCAGACAGGTAATAAGAGAGTGGGTCTCAGTAACCTGGGCGGTTGTGTCCCAGTCTCCTCCCATTTTTTTGCTGTTGTCTTGTGTGGCATTAACTGACGAATAAGTACTGGGACCCATTCTAGAGAGAAACATAGCTGTTCTGCAGAATCCAGAGGGCAGCCACATCTCCTGATCTATTCAATCCTCATTCATTCATTCATTCAATAAATATTATTTTGAGCACTTACTGTGTGTTATTCACTATTCTAGGTGCTGGGACTACATCAATAAAACAGAGCTTCTATTTTGGGGAGGGGGAAACAAGCAATGAACAATGGCTAAAATAAATAATGAAGTGAATAGCTTGTTAGAAAGCACTGCTATTTTAGAGTTTTCTACAGATGATGATAATGCCAACCAGAATTAATACTCATGCAGCATTCCTGTGTCCCAAATATTTTATGTCTATTATCTAATGACGATGTAATCCTCACAACAAACTCATGAGACAGCTGCAGCATTTTACAGATGAGGAAATCAAGGCACAGAAAGATAAAATTGCCCAAGATCACACTGCAAGTAAATGGTAGAGCTGGGATTGCCTACTGAATAAACTTCTGGATCAAGATAACCAATTCTGCCTCTAAGAGCTGCAAAGGAAATGCTCTCAAAAATGCCCAAGGCACTTCGCATGCAAGGCCAGCCCGGGACAGACTTGAATCTTATATAGCACTAACTGAAGAGGAAATAAGAAAATTGAAGTGTAGAATCAAGGTGAATGGAGAGTTGGTCCATCTACAAAAAAGAAAAATAATTACTTTCTGATGACTTGCCAAGCTCTCATTTATATAAGACCAAGAGCATTTGACTCAAAGGCCCTCAAGCTCCGAAGCTCTTTGCTAATCTACCTCTCAGCGTCTCCTACAGGAGTCAGAATTTTAGACCGGAAGGTGAGCTGAGAGATCATCTGGTTCATCCTCTGTTTTATAAAGGACAGGTTGTGAGACTTGTTTAAGGACATGGGGTAAGTTTGTAAAAACATGTCACCCAAGGCAAAAGAAACCAGAACTCACAAGTACATGTGAGTACTGGTACTGATTTTGGACTGAGGAATGGTTGGAAGGTGAATACTGGAATTTTAAAAACTGCTTTAAGGTCAATGTGGCAAGTTCATAAATGTAGGGGGTCAAGAAAAGAAATAATTAAATATATAATTACTAATTAAAAGTGGGAAAGGAAGGAGTCACCTGAAGTAGGTTTGGAGTGTAGGTTAAAAAAGCAATGTGGGGGGAAAAAGATAGAAGGCTTCTATGTGTGTGAAAATATTTAGCTTGAAATGATAGTGAAATGGCCAGAAAAAAAAATTTTGAGTTAAAGTGGCCAAGGATGTGGGAAGAACTGGTAGGTCCACACCTGATAGTGTGATTCTGGCATCGCTTATCTGGGGATATAGATGGGCGGAGAAGGAATCACTCTTTCTTTGTTGTTTTGTTGTTTTGGGGGTTTTGTGCAAGCTCAAATGCTAAGCAGTTGGCTTTAAAGTTTTAAAAAAAAATCTACGGTTTTATTTTACTGAAAAAACAGAACCGAATATGAGTCATCTGGATTTCTACATGGTTCCCACAAGATCCTAAATTATATGTAATACAAAATCGTGTTTTCGATATTTACCACAGGCCAAAAATTTTCCCTTAAAATTTGATCAAAGCTACACAGCAAAGTTGCAACCACAGCTTTGCCTTTGGATCCTGGGGCTGACTTTCTGGAATCACATCCCCAAGGGTGGCCTGCACAGATCACTGAACTTTGCCAAAAAGCAAGTTTGCCTTTAGGGCTCCCTGCCTTCAATTTAATACCTTCTGCCTCCTCCAAGGGCGCACAGTGAACAGCCTGTGTCCACACTGGCCCTTCAGGCTGGAGCCGCCCCACCCCTCCTTTTTTAAAGATTTTATTTATTTGACAGAGAGAGACACAGCAAGAGAGGCAACACAAGCAGGGGGAGTGGGAGAGGGAGAAGCAGGCTTCCTGCGGATCAGGGAGCCTGATGCCGGCTTCCATGCGGGGCTCCATGCAGGACTTGATCCCAGGATCCTGGGATCATGACCTGAGCCGAAGGCAGGTGCTTAATGACTGAGTCATCCAGGCGCCCCTGGAGTTGCCCCTTTCTGTGACTCACTTGTCCTTGTCAACCAAGAGGCTTATCCTGTAACCCCGTTCTCTGTCCCTTCCTAAAATATCAGTGCCTGTGCTTAGGGTCCTGCTCTCAATAGTCTTACACATTCATTTCCTTGGAGTCACTGATCAGCACCAAGTTTAGTGTTTTTATTTGCTCCCCACCTCCAACCCTCGCCCCTTTTTAAAAATTTATTTTATTGTTATGTTAGTCACCATACAGTACTTCATTAGTTTTTGTTTTTGTTTTTGTTTTTAAGATTTTTATTTATTTATTTGACAGAGAGAGACACAGCGAGAGAAGGAACACAAGCAGGGGGAGTGGGAGAGGGAGAAGCAGGCTTCCTGATGAGCAGGGAGCCCGATGCGGGGCTTGATCCCAGGACCCTGGGATCATGACCTGAACCAAAGGCAGACGCTTAACGACTGAGCCACCCAGGCGCCCCTATTTCATTAGTTTTTGATGTAGTGTTTCATGACTCATTATTTGCGGATAACACCCAGTGCTCCAACCCCCTTTTTAAGTAGGAGACCTAATGCCTTCGCCCAGAATGAAACATCCCCTTTATTTTTAAATTTGGGGAAGTTTAAAGGGCACCTGCTTAAAATTCTTTGACCTTGATCTCAGTTCACAAATCTGGACTTTTGCACAAGCTTGGAATGTTTTGTCTGCTTGAAATATCCTCTCGCTTCACCTTTCCTACCTGGTGAAATTGCCACTCTTTTCTCATAACACTTTCAAATGTGGTCTCCATCCAGAAAGACTTCCTGACTCTCTAGAACTCTGCTGACACAGGAGCCACGACCCATGGGAAGTAACTGAGCACCTGAAACGTGACCACTCCAAAGTAACATGTGCTAAAACACACACCAGATTTATAGGAGTTGGTATACAACAGAAGTAAAATATCTCATTAATTTTTTATATTGATTACGTGTTGTAATAATAATATTTTGGATATACTGGGTTAAGGAAAATATGTTATCAAATGAATTTCATCTGTTCCTTTTTTCTTCTTTTTAATGTGGCTACTAGAAAATTTGAAATTACGTATGTGGCTTCTGTTTGTAGCTTATTGTCCATTTCTATTGGATAGTGCCACTCTAGAGTCCAGACTCAAAAATGGTTTTGAAATCACAGTGGGAGCTAGAGAGTATGGATGATTTGTGAATTTCTGTCTGAATGTCTGTGGAATGGCACTTTGGAGTAAGATAATCTATGTTTCTGATGAATGTCAATAACATTTAAGATAATCAGTGAAGAACAGGTGTATTAGGTCTTTGTTTTGTATATCCATGCAGCATTAATCTTTCACTAATTTTTCTGAAATCCCCATTTCCTCCCCTCCTATCCCTAACCCTGGGGACAAAGGAAAAACAGTGTGACAGGGTGTGTAGAATCTTTTGTTCAGTAGAGCAGTGTCTGGTCTAGACAGACAAAATGGAACGTGGTCCACTTAAGTATAGATAACTGTGAAGAGGAGGGGGAGGGAGTAGGGGGAAGGAGAGGAGAACAAAGAGGAGGATGAGGAGGAAGAAGAAAAGAGGCTAATATTAGATGTCACACACAGTGCAACACTCCCACATAACCAGAATTTCCTGAGCTGTGCTCAGAAACCATTGTTTTGGGGGTAGGGAGGGGAAAGGAAGTTTCATGGGCACATCAGAATCAAAAGTACTGTGCTAAACAAAATTTTTTTTTTTTAAGATTTTATTTATTTATTTGAGACAGAGAGAATGAGAGAGACAGAGAGCACATGAGAGGGGGAGGGTCAGAGGGAGAAGCAGACTCCCTGCTGAGCAGGGAGCCCGATGCGGGACTTGATCCCGGGACTCCAGGATCATGACCTGAGCCGAAGGCAGTCGCTTAACCAACTGAGCCACCCAGGCGCCCTGTACTAAACAAAATTAACCAGCTTTCTTAATTGCAGGACTTTTCAGAGCCTTTAATATGCTATGAAACATATGATAACCCAAAAGGGAAAAATGAATTCAGTATTTCCAAACTTATTTGACCACAGAATTCTCTTTTGAGAAACACCTATCAACATCACCAACATTTACTGGTTGGTAAAATTTGTCCTAAACAATGTCATTTCATCTGTATTTTATAGGCAAGAAACTGTGGCTTGGGAAGTTAAGTGACTTCCCTACCATTTCAATCTTACATAATTGGTTTGTGGCTGAGCCCAAATTCCAAATTCATGTTTACACCAGAAGAAGGAATTCTTTTTTTTTTTGAAGTAGGCCCCACGCCCAACATGGGGCTCAAACTCATGACCCTGAGATCAAGAGTCGCATGTTCTACCGACTGAGCCAGCCAGGCAGTTAGAATAGGCATATATTATTATCATGGCAAATTCACAATGCATATAGAAGTACATGTAAAAATGACTTAGTCACTTCTCTCCACATATTCCAAGCTCATGGTCCCTCAGTTCAGACTCCACCCCCTCTTTGATCTCCTTGGATAAAAGAAGTCTTTTTTTCTGAATTTTCCAGTATTCATCATTTGGATCTTGGCATACATTAATGTTAGGTTTTGATATGCACATGTCTTATCTCTCTAAATAGATTGGAGCTTGCTGCGGTATTACTTTGAATTCCCCACAGTGTGTCTTGCAGACAATTGAGGCTCTCTAGAGCCTTGTGGGGCTCAGCTATTGATGGTTTGTGGTATCTTTTTACAGGATCTAAAGGCTAGAGAAACATTAGCTCTTGGTTCAGAGATACCATGTGTTCACCGAAGTTGCAAACCAGTATCAAATAGCATGATGATGAACAATGACATACCTGTAAAATGCAACTCATGATATCAGAAGCAATTTTTGCATGGGGAGTGTCTTCATCTTTCCCAGAGGGTCTCAGGTTGTGCTCCAGGCAGGAATCCCAGAGCCCCACAAGGGCCTTGGCATGTTTTTCAATTGACTCCGTCTCTCTGATGGCTGTTGTGATTCGCGTGATACAGATTTCAACCACAGCTTGGTCATTGTTATTGGTCTGGTAATCCTAGTTGAAAGAAAACCTTCATGTTAAATAACACTCTGGAAAGTTATCTTTCAAAGGACTGACAACATATAACTTATTCACTTAGCAAATGGGTATGCTATACCGTTTGCTAAGGGGTGAGGTTGAAAGCCCCAATACGATGAGGGCCTTCTTCCTTGGAGATGAGAATCTGGTGGACAAGGTGATATGCAAATGTGCTGAAACAGCAGGTTCCTGCTGTCACAGATCCACAGCCAGGGAGCAGGGAGAGTCCAAAGGAGCTTAATTATTCACTTGCCAAGTGGGTTTAATTTTCAGACTGTTTCGGCTTCTAAGTCCGTTACAGGTCAGGGTTGACTTTTTTTCCTCTGACGTTTCAGTGATTTTTGTGAAATGTTTCAAATCATCCTCCAATTTCCCCTCATAAACATTCCTTCTCTTTCTCTACACAACAGAACACATCATCTCAGCTCTCTCTTTTCAGTTCAAATAACTACCAAATCCACGTTAGCTTTCCCCAACCAAATTTCCCTTCATTCAACTATTTAATTCTCCCTCAAATATCTAATCATCTTTACTGGGAGGTAATATGACCCTCCAGAACATCTAAATGTGAAAAATAGGCCCATCACTTTAATTTGGAAAATTGGTCAGTCCATGGCCTGGCAGACTGACAAAAATGAAAATATAATCAAGCAGTGAAGCAATCTGATCCTTACACCATCATGTACTGTTAGAGATGGGAAGTGATGGGGCTTCTCTGTCCTACTGAAAGCTCCAGCCTAACTATCTGGTTTAGCTATTGTATCTAATTCTGCAGTAAACATCTTATGCATGAAGCCCCCTCCATACTTAGATTTTTTATGGTCTAGATTCTCCAGAAGTGGAAATTTCTGAGATAAAGGACAGGAACATCTTTAAGGCTCATGATACATACTGCCAAACTACTTTCCAGAAAGGTCTTACTGATGTATATATACTCCCATCAGCTGGGTGAAAACATGCTTTCCCCATTGCCTTTGCAAGCACAGAGTATTGTTAATTTGTGCTAATTTGATCAGTGAAAAACAGTTATCTCATTGCTGTTTTACATGGAATTTCCTTGATCAGAAGTGAGGTTGAGTATTTTCACAGGCTTATTGGCCATTTGTATTTCTTCCTTTGGGAATTGCCCACTGTATCCTGTGTCAGTTTTTCCCGAGATGACGTCAAGTTTTGGGATCCTCCTTTGATATCTTTTTCTACCAAGGATATTAAGTTAATACTTGGCATATTGATTGTGAATATGTCTCCATGTTTCATCATTTTTAGTTTCTTTGCTGTTATCTATTGACGTGCTAAGTTTTTTTAACCTTTTTAAAGAGTCAAATCTGTCAACCTTTTGGGATTTCATTGTTTGTTCTTTTTTAAACTGGGAATTTGAGTTATTTTTTTGAAAAAGTAATATATGAACATGGTACCAAAAAACAAAAGATATAAAGGAAGGTTCACAGTGAAAAGTTAGTCTCCCTCTCACCCCTGTTCCCTGCCCTGGGAAAACCATGTTCACAGTTTCTATGTATTGGGCATAGGACTCTAAGCCTGCAAATAACCCCCTATATGTACTCCTTGCTTTCCTGTGATTCATTTAATGGCTTTGTTTTTTAACTTCAAACTTTCCTCATCCAAAGGTTTAATAAAAATTCTCTTGCATTTTTTCTAGATTAGAAAAAGAAAACTTAAAACATTTAACATATGGTACTTTAGAAATTAATCTTTTAACTATTCATTTAGCTCTTGAATCTATCTGCTGTGTATAGAAGTAAAGATGAACATTTTCTACTAAATAGCTAATCAATTTTCCCACCATCACTTATTGAATAATTCTGTTCCTAGTTATTGTTTCATACACATCAGTTTGTATTTCAGAGTTGTCTTTTCTGTTTGCTTGTCTCATTTTCCAATTCTTTTACAATACTAATTTTGCCATTTTCTTCATGTAAACCCCACAGAGTTTTAAAGAGGTTTCCCAGTGTACTTTATGTCTCTGTTGTGGATGTTAACAAAATCTGTATTTTTTCCTCATTAGAACTTTTAATTAGTTATTGCTGATTAAGTCAAACTGCATTTTTTAAATTCATTTTGTACCCAGCTGTTTAGCTCAATTCTTGACTATGATATTTTTTCAGATCATTTTCTTGGATGTTCTAGTAATATTTCTGTATTGGATCCATACCTTTTATATATTCCATGGCTTATTGTGTTGGCTAGAATTTCCTAAGCTATTTTACATAAAAGTGATAAAAGCAAGAATACTGGTTTAGTTCTTGGTTTTAGTTCTTGACTTTTGACTTAAAATTTTATGGTCAAAAGCTAGAAAATGCTGTAAATATTTTAAAATCATATAGGATGCATCACTTTCTTCCTATTGTCAAAGTTTATATATTTGTTTTAATTTTTAACTGTCTTATTAGCATCTATGGAGATAACCAAGCATGTTTTCTTAGCCAGCATACATATGTGAGTGTTATGTAAATGTATAATATGAAATTTCCAGATATTGGGCGCCTGGGTGGCTCAGTTGGTTAAGCAACTGCCTTCAGCTCAGGTCATGATCCTGGAGTCCCGGGATCGAGTCCCGCATCGGGCTCCCTGCTCGGCGAGGAGCCTGCTTCTCCCTCTGACCCTGCCCCCTCTCATGTACTCTTTCTCATTCTCACTCTCTCAGATGAATAAATAAATTTGAAAAAAAAAAATTAAAAAAAAAAAAAGAAATTTCCAGATATTAATCCATCCCCCACATTCCTTGAATGAACACCACTTGGTTTGGCAGACTGTTTTAGAATATTTTCTTTTACCTTCCTCGTTTGTGACTGTATTCTTTATTTTACTGCATCAGAATTATTACTTATGCCAGAACAGAATCCTGCTATGCAGTAAATAGGTTCTTATGAAGCCAAGTCATAGAGACAAAACAGAATATGAATGAGCAAAAAAATGATTCTAACTTTTCAAAAAAAAAAAATCTCTGCAGCAATAGAAAAGCCAAAGCCATTCTCAGGGTGAAAAATAACAGAGAATACTCTTGGGCTAAAATCACTTATCTTTGGTCACAATTGCCCTTGTAAATAGAAGTTACTTTTGATGGCATTATCTTCAAATATCAAGCAGCATCATGTGTAATGAAGAGTATTTTATGTAATAGAGAGAATACATACATAAGGATAGATAGAAAAGAGAACCAATGCCATTGACAAAAGGAAGACTATATTCCAAGTGACATGAGCCAAGGCTTTATTATAACCACCCTAATGTGATCCAATAGGTGAACAAATGGAATAATCTTGGTGTGAGGAACAAGAGCTATGCATTACCCAACAGCATAAGCTCCCATTCACCAAGGTGATCTTATTAATATTGCTATTACCTAAACATGCAACTTGCTAGCAACAGAGGTCAATGCTGAACCCCCAGAATGGCACTATCCCATAAGAACACCAATCAATCATTTGGTGCAAGTTATTTACATAAGACCTTTTCCACCTTGGAAGGGACATCAGTTACATTGAGTGGGATTTACATGTGATCCAGGTTTGGGTTTGACTTTCTTGCCCACAGGGCCTAAGCCTGAGACACTATTTGAAGGATCACAGAGTATTTGGTGTGCTGACACAAGATCCCACATAACATTGCCTTAGACTACAGAACCACTTTATAGCAAAGGAGATAGAGCCGTGGGCACCTGATCAGGGATGTATTAGTCCTATTACATATGATAACATCTCTTTCCCCTGCCCTGAAACTGCTGGACTAATAGTTCAATGGAGCAGGTCTTCAAAGAAGCAACTCAGCCTAATATCTTATGAGGATGAGGAACAATCCTCTAAAAGGCAATATACATACTAAAACAATGACTATTACATGGTGTTGAATTCCCTATGGGTAGAATACTGAACCACCTGCGAACTCAGTCACTTTGAGCTCCTGTATCAAAAAACCAGAAAAAAAAAAAAAAGAGTCCCATCTTGGCAAAGGTAATTGACCACATCATCAGGAAAAGGTGGGGCTGCTATTAAGTAATGGGAGCATCTCTAGGCATTCCCCTGAGCAATTTTGGTGGTAAATGGACAAGGGAGCCATCACAGTCTGAGAGAGGCATGGAGACCAGGGACTCGGATCCCTCAGGAAAATGCATATGAGTCACCGAACTAGGAAGCAACTTAAATCAGCAGATATGCCAGCTGAAGGTGTAAGAATTAGAATAGGTGGTAGAGGAGAGACACTGTATTAGCTTTCTTGTTGCTGCTCTAACTTATTATCACATGCTAAGCGGCTCAAGAATTTGTGTTGATAAATTTATTTACCTACAGTTCCAGAGGTCAAAAGTTGAAACTTAGTCTCACTGGGCAAAACTCAAGGTGTCAGCAGGGCTGGTTCCTCTGGAGGCTCTGAGGGGAGAATACATTTCCACATCTTTTTAGCTTCTAGAGGTTCCCTGCTTTCCTTGGCTCATGACCTCCATGAGCCTCCATCTTCAAAGTGCATCACTCAAATCTGCGCTTCCGTTAGCCCACCTCCTTCTTCTTCAAAGAAGGCCCTAGACCTTCTTGCTCCCCTATAATTATATTGGGCCCACCCAGATAATATAGGATAATCTCCCCATCTCAAGATCCTTCACTGTATTATATCTGAAAAATCCCTTTTGCTATGAAAAATAAAATTTACAGGTAGATGTCTTTGGGGGGGCATTATCCAGCCTACCACAGAGTACCAACTGCAGCCTTGATAGCAATTGGTATGGTAGAGATGATAGATCCTCTCACTAACCTTCTTGTAAATTTTGTTAGGAAAAGCATTTCAGAGAAGCTGTTTCCATACAGAATGAAATTATTATACAAAGCAGGTAGATCTGAATGGTGAGAGGGGTAGACTGTAGTAGATACTATGGTACATTGCCCATAGACCCCTTTAGGACAAAGGCACTCATTTTCTCAGCTGTCAGTCCAGACCCAAGTCTGCCTGCAGAAACTGTTCTTTGTCAA